ATACAGTTGGAAGAGTTTGCCTCACCTCGTTTTTATTTGCAACTAATTGTAGGGTGAAATAATAAATTTTTGATGTCGGATTAAACTGATGCGATAGTATGTGTGCATACATATATATATATATATATATATATATATATATCAATTTATTTCTTAAATAACACACCTTTTAAGACCTCTCTCAAACATCAAGCGGTTCTTCATCATCATTACGTTCATACTAAAGGCACAAGATTGCCAGTACCACCACCATAACTACTACAACTACTACGACTATCACTAACGACCATATCTTCCGTATACTGTTTTAACGCTGCGCGGCAGGCATTATTTCAATCAGCGATAACAGCCAACTATGTAGATATAATAAAACTTTTGCATCTGTATAGTCGACCAACCGACTAACTGAACAACTGACTAACAGCCTGTTAGTCTGCATTTCAAAAAGTATTCTTAATCTATGATGAGGTGCTTGCTTGACTGTACCAATGCTTCAGTGTGTATATGTACAAGTAAGTTTGCCACCACCGAAAAACGTACACTTCTCTCCGGTATAGCATATAGCATACTTTTCTATAGCTAAGATAATCCCATACCCATTATGAATAGTTTAGCATGGTCGTCGTCTGTCTGCTCACTCAACGTTTCACGTTATTATTTTTATCATCATCTTTCGAAAATATTCGATAGTTTGAAAAGTATTTATATGTAAGCGTAGTTATGTGCGCATTAGAGAATATATATATATATATATATATATATATATAAATGTACGTATATATATATATATATATATGTATATAAACGTATATATAGTCAAACAACGCTTTTACATTCACTTATAAACACCAACACATAGTGAAACGGCCTTTGTTGGCATGAATTCACAATGACTGCGCTCTATAATCTTTTTCCTCGCATCAGCCGTTGTTGTCGTTGTCGTTGTCGTTGTCGTTGCCGTCGTCGTCGTCATCGTCTCGTTGACTGACTGGTCGGCCTCACAATTGTTAATTGGTGGGACGGTCGCTTCGTTGTTCAGTCAAACGATTGCTTGTTTGGTTGGTTGCCTTTTGCGATTAGCAGTTCGAAACCCGATTGGGTTCGGTCTGTGTAGCGTTTTTATGTCTACATGACAGCCAGGTTTGGCTTTGGCATACGAAATACTTACTTGCTTGGTAGCCACTTGAAATACTTTCGAAAAGTTTCATCGTATAGTGTGGGTATAGATATATAATATTTTTCTGTATATCTCTCTACATCTCTCTACCTCTGCATTATAAGGGGATCGATTTTCCAGTAAATGTTATGTCTTCTCATAAAATATCATCAAGTCGATAATTACAGAATGTATGTTGGATTCATATTCCTACACTGAATTCTGAGTAGAGTATATAAATAATATCTATATATGTACATATTGCCATACGCTTAAATATACATATATATATATATATATATATATATATACATTTATGTACATATATTTTGTAATTCTAATTTAAAGAATTTTTACACACTGTTGCGTACCAAAGCACGCACATTAGTCGTATGCTCAGTTTCTGACGAGGACGAGAAAATGACGTCCGGGCGTAATGCTTCCCTTTAATGAAATTATTAAGCACTTCGTAAAACTGTTCATATTTTGAATAATTTAAGTGCTTTTACATAATATAATGATTTCGTAATACACGGCCGTTTTCTATCCGCAGACCTCTTATGCAGTACTGCGGCGTCATACTCGATTGCAAGGGGTTGATTATAGATAATTGAAATATACGTTTATAATTACATATATATGCATATATATATATATATATATATATATGCACTTTTCTAAAAAAGTATTAATCTTGCAAACTGTTGTGTCTGGCCATGGCAACAAGAACAAGAAGAAGAAGAAAAGAGATCAAAGGGAAGAATTTCCTATATAAAGGGCAGTTATTTCGAAATACACTCCTGTTTCAATAAATTATGAAGAGATTTTCTGCAATAAAATTTTTATAGGTTGTGAAATCAATTTTCCATAGGCAATAACCATTTTGAATCCACCAGAAAAACTTTCACTTTTTTTTTCTTTTTTTTTTTTTTTTTTTGATATGGCCAATCACACAGGAGTTGTCTCCTATTCCTGTAGCACGATGGCTGGCAGAAAGAGGACACGAAAGAAACATGGAGATGGTGGCTACAGACAAGTGGGTGTGTGCCCAATGGATGAGTGTTTCGCCTTTACCGACTGAGCACTCGCTATAGCTACGACCAAAGAAAGCTTGGCCACACTCGAGATTTCAACCTGCAAGCACCTGATCTAATATCAGATATATGCAATGAGAATCAAATGCAAAATATGTCGAAACAATTGATCGACAAAATATAAAATATATAACTGATTGCTATCGTCAGAACCGGGTTAATTAAAGGAGTTAAATAAATAATGCCTTTAAGCGACAGTAAGTGACAGACCGTTCTGACTATGGCATGACGCCATAGTTTTCGTACGCGGTCCGTACATATCATAGTTGGAGGCTTTACGACATGAATTGCTGCTTTTTCGAAAATGAACATAATAGACTTTAAAGAGAGGTCGTCGTAACTTGTGCACGCCGTACGAATCTCGGCAAATACTTCTTTAAAGCGTTGGCACAAATTTGAATTTTCCTTTATTAAACATAGTGTGATTCATATTTATACGTCATTTATCGCTTTCTTCCAAGTTCAAAAGTCCACTCTTCAAATCACGTCTTCAGTGAACTAATCGCATTTAGAATTGAAGCACCAGCTATTGCTCAAGTCAAGAATCTTGTTCGCAACACCAAACTAAAAACGGTTTCGATCACAGATACCCGTCCGTTGTTCATAAAAGCTATCCGAAAACCATTCAATTCTAGCTGGAATGGAAAAGATAGGCCTTAAAAGATATATTTGGGGGATGGGGGAAAAAAATATCCAAAGGCAAATCGATTGACTTCCCAGTTAATCCCAATCTTGCTCCTCTGCTGTATTCAAACAATGTTGAGAAACATAAATCGGAACATAATGTCGATACAATATTCAGCTTAATTTAGTCATCCAGGCTAACCGTGCAGCGCTGCTGCTGATCACTTATTTGTTCTTGCTTTAATGCAAGAATTTAAATATTTTTAGGGTAAAGAAATGATGTCGATAATAATAATGCTTCATTTATCATATATAAAAATGAGACGATTGCGAATCGTATTTTTGGAAATTGTTTTACGCAAACTAAACGGAGAGGCAAAACCTGTAATTAAAATATGAACCTAAAAGAGGAAAACAGTGATTAGTAAAAAATAAAAATAAATTTCAATTTTGGCTCCACGAATCGAAGAAAAAGAGAAGATGTGATTAATAAATGAAAATCGATGGATCCGAAAAAAAGATTACATTTGTTTTTGTATATAGACTAAGGTGAATAAGTTCAAAAAAAAAAAAAAGAATTTTTGCCAAAATTAGGCTTTGTATCTTCATTCTGTATGGCTCAAAATGACCCATCGTGGCTATGCCGCCGATATTTTGAAAGTCAGGACAGACAGAAGAAAAGTGATTGAAGGTATTTAAAGGCCTCTTCATTTAAATAAAAGTCATCAAAAAACAAGTAAGAACACTATGGTCGAGCAAGACCGATCGTAAATACCCTTCACCACATTGTCACAACACAATTCATATTTTTGTAAGAAATTACTATTATGGGTCAATTCCGATCACCACATAGTAAAACTTAGACTTTCCTGCCCTACAAGGGGTCAATTTTCGTAAAAAACCTTATTAGGGTAGGATCCAAAAAATAGGCCAAAATTATCCAAATTTGTTAAATTGCTATTGCTAATTACTTTAATTTTCATTATATGAGAAGGCGTTCAATAATTGGTCCAGCCGATCCAAAGTTTTCCGGCAAATTTAGAATGCCAAAGTACTATTACTTAGCCACTGGAAAATTTTCTATATAACGACTTTTCGGAAAATCGGAGTGAACGAAAAAATGGACCGATTCGAACCATTTTCAATAGCGTTCGTCCTGGGGTCAAAACACGTCACGGTACCGAATTTCATCAAAATATTTGAAAAATGGCGACCTATAGTTGAACACAAAGTTACATGGATAGTCATTAGACGGACAGACAGGCTTAGATCAATTTAGATTATGATTCTAAATTGATTGGTATAATAGCAGGCGGGTCTATCTTAAGCCCTTCTACTTCCATTACATACGACCGCACTAACTAACTGTAAGTTTTTAACCATTTTTTCTGGTTCAATATTTCAAAAAATTCATATTGATCCAACTATTAGTTCTAGTGTTAAGTAATTTCTTAAATAATCAAGAATAGCATAAGAAGATGATTGTGCGCCTGTGCAAAAGATTAAATGGTCGAACATTTTCTATGTTCATGTACAAGTACTAGAAAGACGTGTTCCTCGACGACATAAAGCATAGTTTCAACGATTTTCATTCGACTTCTTCACAAGAGAAGAGAGAGAAGATTTGGGATTTTCCATAAGTTCATTGCATTGGAATAGTAGTATCCACTAATGAAAGCTTCTCCTTTTTTAGTGAAAAGTTTACATTCTTCTTTCGAACAGCAGACGGTCGGGCAAAAACAAAAAAAATTTGTAGAACCTCTCTCGTACTTTTTTACCTATGTGATAATGCAGATTACATTTTTTTTTTTTTTGTGTTCAAATATTTGACTAACTGACTAACACGCGCTAGAGTCCCTTTAATCGTACATGCCACGCCCGAATAACTTCGCTAATAATACCACTAATATATGTCAGCGTAACTTCGTCAAGATGACCGTTGAAAAGATATGAGGTTAAGAGCGATTCAAAAAGCTTTCAAAACTTGTACCAAGAAATTAAAAATTTGCGATGAAGCTTTTGATGTTGATTCTGAATTCGGCTTTTGAATTATATGCTAGTTTTGGCACTTCCCTAACGAAGACCGTCGCTCGTACTAAAATTTCTTCGAGAGAGGACTCTGACGAAGAATACTTACAGCGCGTCAATAAATACTGGGTTGAGGCATAATTATCAGGCGTTTCTTTCACGTGCTATATTTTAATAAAAATGTATAATATTTTATAAATGTATGAATGATAACATTCTTCTACTTTTAGGTTATAATATATAGGCGTGGCGATAATGATATTCATATTTGTCGTAATACGCTGCACCACTTTGGGAAAGGATGCACAGCAGCATAGTCCTTTCGCCATCTCAACGTATTTCGCGCGTGAGGGCACAATCAGCGAAAGTCCATGCTAGCAACACTCCCTTGGAAGATAAACCAATAAGAGGTCGCCCATCGGATTTCGACGACCAAGCATGTGGCATACTGGCGGATGCTAAAGCTTGATGGATTGCCTCCAAGAATCGTGTACCCTTTGTCTTTGTGAAATCGATCTCTTCCAAGCAAATGGGCAGCCATTATTAAAGTAGACGCTGACTGCGCTCCGGATTAATCATATAAATAGTTTGCAAGAATGCCTGACAAGATCGCTTGAAAACGCGTGATAATTATGCCCCAACCTATTATAATATATTAAAAATTTCGCCGTAAGAAGTTTTAATACAACATATTTACGATTTCAACTATGTGTTTCCTTTTCAAATGATAAGTTGCTTAAAGTAACATCACAGGTTCTTTTACTAATATCGTCTCTTTTAACATTAATCGCATAGCCTACGAGTTGTTCTTTGACGAGGCTTTTGTGAGCAAAGATGAACTCTGAAGTCGCCCGCATTTAATAATCATTCGAGAAATTATGATGGAAAATTTTACGAATCGCTACGCTTTAGAAAAATGCACCTTAGCTGATAACATGTTCTGCTGGTTGTTTGAAAAGACAAATGCAAGAGTTCAGTTACGAGGTTTAATCTAAAAGGAACTAACTTTACCAATAGATGCTCTTATCTAATATTTACATCGGAAAATTACATTGAAGTTAGGAAGTTATTTACGCCCTCCTTTAAGGCTTTTTCTTTTTTTCTTTTTTTGCTCTCATTTTTTCTATGTTTCGTATTCCTTTTCAGTTGGACTCGTTTGAGTGTTCTTTAGAATTTCCTCCAGCTGAGCAATTAAACCGATTGCCCGATAATTTTCTTTAAGCATCGCGTATTCTTCAAGAGGTTTGAGTAAACGTAACGCATCTTTCGTATTACGTACTTGACGTGGTAATTCTTCATCTTCTTCCTCATCGTTACTATATTCAGACCAATGGCCGGGACTATGATTGCTAATAGATTTTTGGCAATTTGTCGAATTGGCATTTGTCGCTGTTTGCACATTTGCTGTTAATTTGATGCGAGCATCGGCATTGATTGATTCAATTTTACGTATTTTTATTGGTGGTGAATATGTTTCCTGAGGTATGGGTTGTATTTTGATTTCTTCTATATCCGGCTTTATATCCTCTTCCTCTTCATCCACATCAAGGTAGATAATCGGGTTTTTTTGAAATTTCACCGCTGAATTAGGAAATTTCAGTTTTACTTCCGCTGTTGCTGTATGAGGGTGTGTTTGTTCATGTTGTTGATGTTGATGATGATGGTGATGATGATGAAGATGATGATATTGGCGTTGCTGTTGCTGCTGTTGTTGTTGTTGTTGCTGTTGTTGATGATGATGTTGCTGCTGTGGCGTCGCTGTTTGCAATTTTATTTGAATTGAGGGATTTTTGGGCGTTAATGTTATGATGGGCGCTTTATCTTTATTATCCATACGACTGCAATAGCTTAATATATCTTTTAAATCCAAAGATAAGGGCGGACGACGATTATGATTTTGTATCGCATCGAAACTATGCCGTGTTCTAAACTCTTGAATCCAGTTATGCGAAGGCACAAATTGTTGCACTTTTAAAATATCATTTAATTCGCGAGCCACCTTAATTAATGATTCATTATTTAGTAAAATACTTTTGTGATGGAATTTCGCTCGCAACACATACTCAGCTAAAGCTTTCTCCAGAAAATTTAATTTGCGCGAACGCCTTTCCTCCTCCAGTTCTTCAATTGTAGTGTCAACGCTTGTACCCATTTGCTCTTTACCAAGATTCTGTTGCAATTCTCTAATTTCGATAAGACTGGGATTATTTGGTTTATTTTTTGTGCAATAAGTCATAATATCTTTCAAGTCGAGCGACGATGGCGGCACTCGGGTTAAAGCAATTTGTCGATTGGACAGCGATATATTATATGTAGCTTTGAAATGATTTATCCACGTTTTACTCGGATAGAAATCATTTAAGACCAATATATCGCGAAATTCTAATGCCTTCGTACGCAACAACTCTTCGGTTATATCTACACGAGCATGAAACTGTACTCGTTGTATGTACTCGTAAATGCATTCACCGAGAAATCTCAATTTTTTCTGCTTAATGTCCAAATTAATATCAGACTCGTCTTCTTGTGGTCTTTGCTTCCTAGTGGCTTCATAAAATTTCATAATCGCTTCACGATTCGCTATAATATTCTTAATTTGTTCCCAACTGCAATTAAACATACGGGCAACTTTTGTATACATAGGACGACAATAATAGGCTTCAATAGCGGCTACGCGCTCTTCCAAAGTTAGAATATTACGAACACGATTCGGACTAGGCTTCAATTGGGTAGCATCAACATCAATATATTTATCCGGTTTAGAATGCTGCAAGAAAAATGCAAATGAAATGAATGAATTTCAACTATTTTCATATAAGAAATCTTTAGCTAAAATCATTTAAAATTCCCTTTCGAACTAATATTTAGATTTAAGTCCACATTCTGGATTAAAAGTTTTCAAAATAAAATGAGCAAAAAAATTTTAATAAAATTCAATAAGTTTTCTTCTCATTTTAAAGTGTTTTGAAAGTAATTTTCTTTTCTTTTTTGCACACATCCATTAGAATGAGCGAGAAGTTTGAAAAATTCCAAATTGTTTTCAAAATAAGGATAATATCCAAAAAACCAATTATTCATTAATCTTGTTGAAAAAATTAATCCTTTAAGAGCGAGAAGGGTATTCGCACATACAAGAGCATAAAAAATAATTTCTACATAGATAATAAAGGGGGAAAATGCTGCAATTGGTCTAACGGTTTATATATCACGTTTCAGTTTTTCAAGCAACGTGAATAGGAATCCATATAAAAGCAGCGCTATTTAAGTGCAATACGTACGTAAACCAAGCAGATTTTTAAAAAAGTTAATGGTGGTTGAAAGCTTGTCTCTGTTGCCAGCGGATATCCTTTCGTTCAAGTTAGCCCTTGTCAGCGCACAAATTTAAATGCAATTATAGCTTCATTCAAATTATATACGATTTGATAAATGAAACTAAAAGAACTCGCATTCAGCGACGCGACAGACCTTCTCCTCCAGCTGTGGCAGGCATATTTTGCAATTGTTGGTAATTAGTTGCGCGTTTATCAAATTTTTCGCCCTTTATAGCTTAGGTTTAACAATTTACTAACTCTATTATGCGAGCGTATGCAATATGGTTTCAAATCGTCTGGATAAATATTTGTCACAAATTGCAGAGGATTGGTCGATTATGGATTATGGCCAAGTTCCAGTGCTTTGTAATAGTTGCTCGGGAGATACGTTATTTTTTTTATTTATTTTTTTTTTGAACTTGGTCTATGACGATCAATAAATATGACTGAAATCAGTTGTGTCTGTTTGTCTTAATTTAATGTCATAGCTAAATCGACCTTGACTTTTGCCCTGTGCATACTTCGTGACGTATCTAATGCGTATTTCTGGCAGTTACAAACGGCAGAACAAATCTAGTATACTCCCAGCTTTGATTGATCATATATATAGGACGCAAAAATTTATGTTTTTTTTTATTTTTAATTTTTTTTTTAATATCAATGATCAGATGTAAAAACATTTAACGAAAGTAACAAAAGTTTTCTCTGAGTTCGAATCAGCTAAGCTGCAGGTATCGTCGCCCTATAGGGCAATCGGGGCATAAATCAATTGCTCTTAAGAGTAGCGTACATTTTCTATTTACTTTGCATGAACAACATTGTTTAGAAGTCGGCGAAAGAACTTCAATATTTTCATACTTGCTAGCAGGAGCGACCATTTTCTACACTTATGTATTATAGATGCGTTGGATTCAATCTATTAAAAATTGCAATGTTTTTTTTTTTTTTTACTTTTATTCTTCTATTCTAACTATAAACTATTTTATTCAAACTCTCACCACGCTGCTGGCAACGCCAAATGCGCAATGTTCTAGTCAATTAAAGGACATTGCGATCGTTTTGTTGACGATCAGAACAGGCTGTAATAACTCTTACTTGTTCGAATATATCTATTTGGTCGCTAGGCATCCAAAACCACTTGTCAAGCAAGTGATGGACAAAATTTTGAATCATCGACCTGGCCTGGTGATCAATCATTTTTCAATAAACAAAAAAAATACGCATCGAAAACCCGCAAAATATGTATATGTATGTGCCCGACAAAAAATGAAATATCGGTCTGACGAAAATTATGACTAATAGAGCGTGAAAGTACGCACGATATGCTTACAATAACTAAAAATGAATTGAAGGATTTAAAAGAAAGCAAATATTATAAAATATTGCTGTCAGTAATCTATAACCCACTGCGGAGAGAGATCTGAAATGGTAAGCAAAATGGAAGACGAGAGCCACCGGTCTTTAATGGTCCATTAACTGTCCTACTATTGCCAATGGATAGGATAATTATATGGCCATTATATCATTGCTGGGGCATAGTTTAGGCGGGAGTCAATATTGCTTGTCGGCATTCATTTAAATAAAGACAATGCATCAACTCGCAAAAATTTATATTATGAGTAATGGTAGGAGTAGCCTATATTGATATTCGAATACGCCCATATATGTTTATTCAGTGCGCCGCAGGCGATCTTCTTCGAAATATAATGCTGATTAGAGATTGGTTATCATCGGAAATGACCTAAGCCAACTAAGAATGACTTAACGGTTACTTTTCTCTTCATTCTTTTACAAGTTAAATAATTTCATAAAATTAAAACCTAACGGTAATTAAACTGTTTTTCGCACAATTATTTAAATAGAAAAAAAATATGAAAAAAAAAAAAAAAAATTGAAGCAAAATTTCAAAACTCACCTGAGCCATTTTCGATGAACGACAATGATTGACTAAAGTTTTGCGCTTTTGAGAAGCAAGCAGAAAAAATTTGATCACTTTAGTTTGGCGTTTAACTTAAGTAAGTAATGATTTCAGAAACGGAAAACCGGGTTAACTTGTTTTCCGAGAAACCAGTTTCCACTTGAGCCAGACGAGACCGCCGCCAAAGCCGTTAGCACAAATACTATAAACATATGCGTACATCTACGTAAATATCGGCAGCAACACTCTTCGCTCTCTGATCGGTCGCTATTATCACTACAATCGAATGCAATAACAACAACGCCAATATAGTCATACAACAATTGCGAGAGAAACCTGTTCACTTTAAAATGATGCAAAATGAAAAACCAGTTACAATTACCTTGCTTGCCTTTGCTTAATAGAAGAAAGAAAATATGCTATACATTGAATACACATGAATATGATTTGTTATCATTTGTGCTCAGCAGCTCATGCTTGCAGATATCTATATAAGCAATAGCATCGGCAACTATAAACATAAACAAGAATAACAGCTGTTTATGTTAATAAAGTTGAAAATGTTTTTGTGCTTCTTTTGTGCCTTTTCCTTTTGCTTTTTCTTTTTATATTTGTTTTTTTTTTTTGTTTTTTTTTCTTTTTCTTATTTTACTTTGCACAGAAGGCAACGTGTTGAGACCGGCAAGCTTTTCAATTTTATTTTCTGTTTATGTTCTTCCTCTTCTGATGACGTAGGATGTCGGCTGCAAGTGCGTGCGTTACGAGTTCTTTAAAAACAAAACAAAAAAAAAAGAAAAAAAACAAAAAAAAAAAGCGAACATACACTTACATACGCATGCATACAGTTAGTTATATATATTCAAAGTTTTTTTGTTGTTTTTTTGTTGTTTTCTTTTGTTTCTTTTTTCTTTGCACCCCTAACGGCAAATCTCTACACAATTCCTTTGCACAATGTGACTGCGTAAACTCACTAAGAAACTCAAAATATAACTGAGGACTGTCAACTAGCAAAGAGACTTTTATCGTTTTTAAAAAATCGCTTTTAAAATTTGCTCAAGACTTGGGCTTACTGCTCTCTTTGATTCTTTTTCAGTCTTCCTCCGTCCCTGTCACGCATACACTTTGCATTTTATGTTCTTTTTCATTAATTAACCAGTTTTTTGTTTTTTTTTGTTTTGTTTTTGCTGTTTTATTTCGAACCTGTTTTTTGCAAAGTTAACAATTCGTTCAATCTTTCTCTCGTCTACTCTCTCTGAATGAGAGTTTAATCTCTCATATATCCGTTTAGTGCACTGAGTTCAATTCTCTCACAGCCAATCAGACAGATATTAAAATTTATTTTTAGCTTTGCATACATTTAAAAAGTTTATTATATATTATACGAATGATTGCAAACATAGCGCTAGATATTGTCGATAATTAATATTCGGTTAAGTCATTATTATTTTTAATAATTCAATTACGAATATTGATAATCTTTAATAATAATAAACGCTTAACTCAGGGCATAATTTATTTCCAAATCGAATTTTTCTTAAAGAAAGACACATAGGCGTAACAAGAAACAATTTATACTCGACTTTAGTCGAATCCATCCACCATTCATAACTCAGTTTATATATATTATATTAATGGCCAGATGAAGCCAAGATCTCATTGGATTTTCGTAAGGACGGCAAGGAGAGACCTTTGCTAACATTTTGTAAATCATAAAAATCAAATAATTTTTCCAACAATTCATAGCAAAATACAATGTTAAGCCAAATTGTCGGTTTCCGTGCTAAAGACGATACCCATATAATAGACTGTGTATCATGGTTTCTCCAAAAATGTAATAAGCAAAACTAACCGTATGCAGGAGCTATCAAAAGATGGGTCTATCGTAAGCCCTTCTGGGTGTTACATATGTCCGCACTCAGGGCGCGTATAAAGAGGGGGGAAAATGATTTAATAAATAATTTTAATAATTATCCCAAAGCAATTTTATATCAATATCTGTCACAAGAGTCATTGACAAAACAAAGTTAACCTGGAAGTAATGATATTTAAAAGAGAAAAGATGCTGGCTAAGTAGCAGCCAATACAATTCTCCAATAATGATCGCCTCTTGCACTGCAAAAAAAAAAAAAAGGAAAAAGTAACGAAACTAAGGATCAGTAAAAACTTAGATTGTAATCATATTCGATGGTGTTAAAGAAACCGATCTTCAAAGAGTCAATCAATTCAGTTCATTTATATTTACAAGCGATTAGGATCAATCAAAATTACAACTACGCTTATCCTTTGTCTCTTGGTAGGCATGAGCAGTTGATTTCGAATCTTTAATAACAATAAATTAAACTCTGCGATTATTTTCTAATTATATTTATATATATATGCCTGCGATTGAGATACGTACACACGAGTACACTACACCTTTTTCTGTTCCCAAAACTGAAAGTGTCCATGAAAGGATGGAGTTTTGCTACGTTTTGCTAAAAGATTAAGACCGAATCCCTGGAAGAGCTTAGGGTCGTAGCAAAACGGGGCACATCAGAAGTGTTGATGCTAATAAATAAACATTTTTCGAGAAAAATGACAAGTCACCTTTTTGTTTTCCAAGTCCTCCAAGTCCAAAGGTCTTTCCTCATTTCATGCTGTACTATGAAAACAAACGAGAAATGATGACTTATTTGTCGACAAGCAATTTTACCTTTCAAGTTGTGATTAGGAATGCGATACATCATGGGGCGATTTATATAACATATTATTACATGCATATAGCATGCCTATAATGGGTGGAGAAACGTTTTAATTACAGCCGTAATCCGGCTTAATTATCTCTTTCTTCAACTTCTTCGGCTTCATACATGCAGATATTTTGCTTTAGCTAATGCTTGGAATTTCTTATAAATTCGTCTTATTAATAAAAAAAATGTGCATTAGAAAATATTGAAAAGTATATTTATATCAAAAATATATATACAATTGTCACAGGCTGTAGGATTCTTGTTGGTTTAAAGCTCTCCATAGAAGAGGAAATTTACCGTAGCATTTGTTTGTCTCCTTTGACAAATATAGACATAAAAAAAAATAAAGTTCGAATAACGGCCGGTCGTTAAATACCCTACACCACATTGTCTAATACCATTCTTATTTTTATAAGATATAACATTTTTATATAAAGGCATATTTTTCATGTGCATAGTTCTGGGGAAGCGGGTCCAAAACGCAATCTAATGTAGTGCAGCTTTAATCCTTACTCGTCCTTGGGCGAAAACATGTCACTTTACCAAATTTCATCAAAATATGTCAAAAATTGCGACCTACAGCTTGAACGCATATTGGCATGGACAGACGGCAGATGGACAAACAGGCTTAAATCAATTCAGATAATGATTCTGAATCGATCGATATAATGAAAGGTTCCACCACAAGTGGTGTAGGATATACCAAATAGAAAAATTATATTCGGTTGTGGCCGAATCTTTTACGCCCGTTATACTTCTCCTAAAAGGGAAAGAAACTAAATTTTTATGCTACATAGGATTGTGTGGGTGTGGTTGATTTTTCTACTTTTCTAAAATAAAAGTGAAAATTTGTATCGCGTATCTGTTGTAGTTTAGTACTAACGAAAAACAAAGACATACTCAGTTTTTGTTGCATTTTAGGCCTAGCTTTCGACCAGTTTGGACCATTTTCAATTTTTTTTTTTTTTTCGCAAATTTGTAAGCAATGTGTTCATTTTTCCGAGCGAGACAACATTTACTGCAGATACTGCAAAGTCGAGCAGACAGAAGACGGGCAGACGAACGGACTAGACATGCTTAGGTGCGTTCCGTATTCGAGACTGGCCAAAACGATATGCCATTTATACGATTATTTGCTTCTCGCTGTAAACGTTTTGTCAAAGAAATGAAAATTTCATATAATATAATATTGAGTAGGCGTGCCCGATTTCCGCGCATTTTTGTACATTTACTACAGATTTACTCAAAGAAGACACGTTCAAATATTTATGGATTTATCTACAGTGGTTTGCGAGTAACATGTCCTTTTAATATCGGCTCCAGATGGCTGCTCAAATATAAAATCAGAAGAAAAAATAGATAAGAAAATCGTATTGGGCTGCAGCTAACTCCCCCGTACGTACCACTTTTGTCGTAATCAAAAAAAAAAAAAAAAAAAAACAAAGAATAACTCGAGCAAAATAAAATTTCAATACTCTGTAATATTAAATGGGCATGGCTGATTTTCCTTTTTTTTGTATAAATACAGCCGAATCTCCTGCATGAGCCAAAAAAAAAAAAAAAAGATTTCTTTCCTTTTTGAAAATGGGGGTGTTCTCAATTTACGCGGTACTGTAGGGGTGTTCTTCGAATGAGTTGGCCACTCCGCCTAAATGAACTTCCATTGTTTCATTTTTCCCGCGAAAAGAATGTTTACACAGACGGACGGACAGACATTCGTAAATCATTTCATGATTTGATGCCGATCAAGAATATATGTACCCCGATATTGTAAAAGTTGTGTCGGTAATGGATACAGCAATTACCTAAAAGACCGCAAGCGCTCTAGAGAAAAGTTATTTCCCTTTCTCAACAAAATATATATTGGATGGTTATGGAGACGATTTGTTAAAAACAAGCTAAATTACTTACCGTTTATTATTTATGTAAAAAAAGAAAAAGAAAAAAAATTAGGAAAAGAAGGCAACACATCTAAATTAAAGAAGAAGGTAGGAACGAACAATGGAGGAAAATCTACGGTAAACTTCACTCTTCTATACATCGCTGAGATTAAGTTCAAAAGAGACTGAACTATTCCAGAGACTCTAAAGCATCAAGTATTTTACAACTAGTCATTCATCATCATCATCATCATCATCATCATCATCATCATCATCATATTTAATATATCATTATTCATCATTCGTTCATCATCACACATTTCTGATCCCATCCTACATTACTAAGGAGAAATAATTATTTGTATAAAGCCACGTTGAAACTGAGACGCCGCCTTAGATAGCAAAACGCTGGGCTCAGAGACAATTTCATAATACTGTGGACATAAGAAAGTTACTCTTCGTTGGAAGATACGAAATAAGGAAATAGGAAAATGCATTTGGCTTTCGTGTTCGCTTTGAATCGTCCACTAGTTACTTGTTTTTTTTTTTTTTTTTTTTTTTTTACATTGAATGTGTTGCGAACACGACTAGAAAAATTAGTTGAGGTTAAGTGATTTTCATTAGATTGTGTTTTCATATTTTTATACCAAAATGACTACGTGATGCGGGCGAGTCAAATACGGCTTTACGTATAGGGTCAATTTGTTCACATTTTCTTCCACGCACTCCAGTACACGCCCATATATGATTCTTTTCTCGTGTCTTTCGGATCTTGGGGAAATTTCTAAACTATTCTACTCTAATTATTTTCTCGTCTTTTACTTTCTTATCTAAATCTATCGACGAATCCAAAGAATTCAATCGCGTTTTTCGCGATCTTTGCGAAACTTTCAAAACTTTCTTACTATTGCGATAATGACTTAATTTCAGTAAATTAATGGCGAATTGTACACACATGGGACACCAATTTTTAAACTAAATTCAATCTGAAGAAAGTTGTCCGTTGAAGGAGGTGTTTAAGAGTCACTTAATTGATTTCGGCAAATTTCATATTTCTATTCTTTTGTTCTTCTTCTTCGTCTTCTTTTTCTGTTATGTTTTTTGTTTGGGAATAGTTTTGATATAATTTTGCTATTTTATAAAATTTGTTTCAAAATATTGAACTAATAATGAACGGGACATTACTTATCCCAAATGGCTGAGGCTATTTTACCATAAAAAGACTGCCGTAACTCAACATGGAACGCATATGCGATTGTTTCTAGAATGGTCGCAATTTCAATCAGAAATTCCGATTTTCGTTCGCACGTTCTCTCATTAGAATTGTTCGCCCGGCACATTTACAATACGGCAAACCCTGTTAGCTTTAAAACAGGAAAAATCGGCCGCACCTACTCCATATTAGAGAGTAAGAAAAAAAATTAGGTTCTTCTACCTTTTTTGTCTTGCTTGGGATAATAGATGGGATAGTAATGGATATAGAGAAGGTTCGGTCACGATCGAATATAATTCTTTTGCTTATTCTGATTCTCGTTCCGCCGAAATGCAAAGTGTTTGAAGAGCGTAGTTGGGGTAGTATTAGTGGTAGTGTTCGTCCCGCTTTGATTTTCTCGAAGTTATTTAATCTCAGAGAGTTTCCCAAATTATCCTTCATTTATGTTATCATTATCCATATCCAGGAGAAATATTTTCTTATATTCTAACAAATATTTTCTGCAAAATTATACTAAAGTAAATCACTTATCTCTTATGAATTATGAAAGTAGCCGCTGTTATCAAAGTGCTTTATGTTCTTAATACATTTGCTTGTTAAGGTTTTCTAACTGCATAGCATTGAGTGTGAAATTGTATGCTCATCTGGAATCGTTTCTCCTCAAGAAACGAATTTAGTTTTAATCTCTCGGAAATTTTCTTTATCTTTAAGGCAATATCTTCGGATACCTGTGGATTGTAAAGATCAGCGAAAAGTCACTAGATTGCTTCCCAATACTTTATAGAAAGTGAAGAAATTTTGAATCCTACTTCGTTTAGGATGAAAGTCGTTTAATTCATATAAATCTTTGAAATAATAAAGTAATAGACATAGGATTTCTTTGTCGTCTGCTTTGCCTCGTTTTGTATACAATATATGCAGACATTTTCAGGTACACAGCATCATCATAATCTTTGCTTCCAATAGGCTTAGCTAAGCTTAAATATATTTTGGTTCTTGAAATTTGCTCATGCTTGCTTTATCCGAGTTCCTGAAATGCTCAATATTCGGCTTGGGTTTATGAATTCTACGTAGAGTATGTCTCTTACTCATCTTTTTTTTTGTAATATTTCCATGTAACCGTAAACGATGCAAGATCGTATTTGTAATATCAGAATTTTTCGCAAGATCGTTATATTTTGATAAAACTTAGGAAATCATCCATCGATCTCTTAGCTGGTTCAATATATGGTAAATTCATGAATTCCTAGACGTATTAAATCCCGATAGCTAAATACGAAATTTGTCCTTTTCCATGTGCTCGTAAACCCAATGACAATCAATATGTACTGGATTATTAAACTAACAGGTGATGGCATTTCGATTATAGTATTGCCCTCACTGATTATGTAATTACGATCTTTGATCGCTTGCAGTTTTATCAATTGCTTACGTTCCGTTAGAATATTTTTGCATTCGAAAGGAGTAAATGTTTAAAATTCAGTTTGTTGATCTGACCATACTTTAGAGGAGGTTCTAAATTGATAGAACCATCCTTGGTTTGGGTAGCAATCTTTCAGATTTAGTTAGCCTGTGATAGCCAAGCGTATCAAATCTATAAGTTTATAGCTATCCAAAAGTATTGTACTTTTTTTTATGCCTCCGTAAAGACTGTTTACCCAACAATCTTTTCTTTGGTCGGTTTGTGCTCCTTTTAGCCTCTACTACCGTTTAATATTCTTTTCACCTTTTTGTAGTCTTCTACACCAGGTTTTAAAATATCTACATGGATGAAAACTTTGGAGGACGACGCCATTACTTTCTTCATAAAAATTTTCCTCGGAGCTTTCCATGTCATTATTTTGAGTTGTTCTCGGGTATTCCCTAACGCAATATTCAAGAATAATTAATCATCAGATTCAGCTAAAGACAGTTTGTATGTTAGAAATTTGGCCAAAATTGCTTGATTGAGGTAAGAGATCGTTGTAATCTTGGCTATGACTAAATTTATAAATGGCGTTCCTTACGTTTAAGTTGAAATCGTATTGCTCCACGCATCTATTCCGGAAGACTCTCTGCCTTGTTTTTAGCGGTGACAGCTACGTGTATAGGTTCCCTTTTCTTTTTTTCTTTTTTTTCTTTGAGGTTAGAAATTTTAAAGTATTATAGCCCATCCTTCATCAATATCGGTGCAAGTTTGATGTTCAACGATTTGTAAAATCTTGCTTTAGATCTTTGTTTCATTTTGTCTCGATGATATTGCGGATTAACAAGCGTTTGTTAAATATTCCAAAAATATATAATCGAGATATTCGAGAACTATACTTTTTGGTTATCGTTCTGGAAACTTCCGTTGATGTTATGAACGTTCATTGTGCGTTCAGGTGCAAATCACACATTACCGCCATTTAAGTATGTTATGTTTAGCTGATATTTAAACTGAAAATAGCAAAGAAATTAAGAAAACCTTTAAATTTAGGTTTAAAAGATTTATTAAATATGCCTTACAGAGAATGCAGAATATACCTGAAAAGTAAATTTACATTATTTTGACTTATTTTTAACAATCCTTAAGATAATCTTCATCAATATAGATGAACACCTTTAAAAACACTCCGTATAAGATTTGCTTGTACTTTTTTTTTTTGAGCAACTAAACTACTTTCATATTTCTTAAATCCACATATTAGACATAAGCCAATCTTGATATGAATGTATGAGAACGAAAGAGACGTTTTTTTTCCGATCATTGAAAAATGGCCATTCTTCGGCTGAAGAATGCATCCGTTGAAGGAAAAAAATACAAAAACGTACTTGCACAGTTCAGTTCGACTAACTCGACTTTTTTAAGAAAAACGAAAAAAGAAGATAAAAATGAATTGAAATGATTGAATAAACAGGAAACAACAAGGACCGTACAAAGTATAAAATAACTCATCACACACGCCCAATAAATATAAGCCTATGATCCTGCTAAAAATGTGTGGAAAAAACTGAAAAACTAGAACTTCCCCCCACTCGCTCCTTCCAGAACCCAAAACACAAAAAATACATTACAACCGCAATAATTAGGTTAAACATATATATATATATATATATATATCTTTTTCAGATATTATTTATGTAATATTAAGAGAAGTACTTACCCCAGCTATTACTGGTAGCACGATGAATGCACGGACATTGAGACCAAGACTGATTAATAAATGGAAACGAATATCGGGCAAAAAGCTTATTAACGATTGTTAGGATTCTCTCGTTTATCTTTTTATATGGCAAAACATTTTTTTATTTCTCTCTCTCTCTCTCTCTCTTTAGAAATCTTTAAATATTCTACTCTTTAACAAATAATCGCTGATAAGAGAATAAGCGATAATTCGCAGCTCCCCGTAGCCCACTATTCGATGTCATAAAATTTGCATCATGAATAAGATTCTTTAAGTTGTTTCCATATTGCGGACGTGTATACAAACATATCACGTCCCATTTTCGTATACGTGTATTAACGCATCACTAGGTAGGTCATCAAAAAAACTATTGAGAAACGCTGAGCATTCCCGAAAACTTTTCCTGCTTCTGATAATCACAAGGCAATTTTAGCAAAACAAAATATTGCATTATCCCGCACTATTCCTCGACGATTATTAGATGCCAATCTACTAGGAAGAGAACAGAAAAGTTAATTTGGAGAAGAGGGAAGATCCTGCTTTAGCCAATAAAGGTGTGGAGAAATATACGTCGGAACGAACGAAGCGAAAAGTAAAATTGTTTGATAATGATGCAGGAAGTGATGTACGTCGGTCAAAAGGCAAAAAAATGCCCACATTAATTTTACTAAATAAATATATAATTAACGAGCGGCTTGTCTTAAGTCGGTGTCGGTCTGCTATGTCCCAAAAAGGACTACGGATAGATTTGTAGATAAAAACCCTGCTATGGAAATTTTAACAGGATAATGATACGAAACATTCATCGAATTTGATGGAAACGTGGTTCCAGGACCATAAATTAGATATCACTGAATCGCCAAATCACTCCCTTCGGAGAGGACTAAAGTGTTTTGTTCGCAGCAGCAATAATTAAAGGAATTATGAAAAAATATTCAAAAAGTACGATATAATATCGCAATAGAGCCACGCGATAATTTTAATCATGCCTATCAAGATCGAGGTTGTCCTTAAAAACGATAGTGATTATACTGGCTATTGATCGAATTGGCATTGAATTGATTTTTAGAAAAATGAACCAACACCTTGAAGCACACAATTTTGCTTTACTTTCAAATTTCTAGCTATACATCTATTTTAGCGTCCACTTAATAATATATGCGATCTTTGAAGTTTTTGTTTATACTTAACATGACTTTAAAATCATTTTTGAATACCGAAATGTTCCTACTTTGTAAATAAATGATAAATATAATATGTAATAAGAGGAAATGGGAAAAGTATATAGCCCTGACCAATATAAAACAACGTACACTTAATTTTCCGTCCACTTCTGCATATATATATATAAATAAAAATCGCAAAAAAAAAAAAAAAAAAAAAAAAAAAATTGGGTCTAGAAGAACAATTATCCCTTAATATGCATGATAATAATAGCCTTGTAATTGCTGCTCGTTGTGGACAAGTGCGGATAGTGATATTCGCTATACTGGCACTCGGACGATATGATCCGGCGGGTACACTTAAAAACGGAGATACTAAAGATACGACGATAGCGCATTCTCCATCTCTGAGCTTATATATCCTATATATATATATATATATATATGCCCTATACCATTCATGGTATAAGGGTATATTAGATATGTGCGAATATATGCAACACCCAGAAGAAGATGAGACAGACTCACCCTTTCCTATATCAATCAATTCAGAAAATGATTCTAGTCTGTCTCTCTGTCTGTCCGTATGTTTGTCTTATTTTTTTTATGTTGCATCTACAGATCGCAATATACTGGTTTGCTTTACTCAGCTCGGTATCACTTTTCCCACCACTCTCCCTATATAGAGTCCCATCTTGAAAAGTCGCTATATGAATAACGGCACTAAAGGAAGTAGCGTAGAATATTTGGTGGCGGATCGCGTATAACTGTAGTGTTTTCATTTATTTTAATTGTAAACTAATTGAGGAAAAAAGAATTACTTCGAGGCCGCATAACTTTTGCTTACATTCTACGACAAACTATTTAGCATAAGCAAACAATTTCAATTTCTTCATAATTCGTAATGTGATCGAAAGATGTTTCCCTATAGTTGACTACAGTATCTTATGCAAAATAATTCCACGAAACTGAAATTTCGCTCAAATAATTCAGGAAAGGTTATAAGGTATTTACGATATCGTATCGTATGTAGCACTACTACTACTACTAAATTAATTATATATATATATATATATATATATATATATATATAATATAATAGGATTGGAGCTACTATAGATTTTGCATTATTAGGTTACGCTATTATATATGAATAAATATAAAAATGCTTCAGTGGAGAATTAATCAAGTGACTCAAGAGTCTCTAGTGCAAAAGAAAAAATAAAAGAAGAATTAAATTAAATTTCATCATCGGAAACATGTATACGTACCAAATATATATTTATTGGCATCTATTTGGAAAATTGTCGGAATTTCGATATACGATTTGTGAAAGTGAAGGGATAAAAATGTGCAGCTTACTCCAGGCAAAATGTGTTTTAAAACACTATCTTTTTGAAAATTGTCCTTATCGCTCTGTCATGTTAATTACTTTCAAGTCTATAACATTAAAATACAGTTTACTGAAAGAAAAAGATATAAATAATAATATTATCATAAGCTAATAGGGGCATCTTAAGGGTCCTGAATTTCACTTTAACTTTATATATATATATATATATATATATCCAAAGAATCAATATACTTTTCCATTTATAATTTGAAGAGTAAGAAATAATAATTATTTCATTGTTTATTTTCACAAGTAAATACACAAATAATAAAATAAAAAAAAATAAATCGAGCTACAAGTCAACAAAATAAGATTTGATATCAGAGTGTTGTTGAGTATAGTGTGGAGCTTTTTTTTTTTTTTTTCTTTTTATACCCACCACTGTAAGATGGGGGTAGACTCATTTTGCATTTTTTCCATAATACATTTAACACCCAAACCGAAACTTCAGAGGCCCTATAAGGTATATGTGTTCTTGATCAGTATGAAATTGTGAAATGATTTAGCCGTGTCTGTCCGTCTGTGTGGAGTTTGTTGTCGGCACTGTCCCCGTCGCAAAAATTCACATACCGAGTTCAAAGTTTGGTAGAAACATTGAAAGTTTCTTCGTGTCGCTTGACTGGTATTGAAAATGGGCCAGTTGGGTCAAAGCAGAAGCCCGCAACGAGGCATGAACTGAAAGCAATTATGTTTTGCCTAACAAAAATTTGTAACGGAAACTATTAAAGTTGGAATGCTGAAATTTTCCACATTTACTTAACGAAGCCTTGTAACCTTTACCTGGAAAAATGGGAAAAATCGTCCATGCCTGCACAAAGTTACAAGTGATTAACTTGCTTGAGCTTTTATGCTTATTTATCCTAAGGCAACAAAGACAGAATGTTTAGAACTACCTTGTAGTACATTCCCCAAATGAAGGTATATTATTTGCCTAAAAATGGATTAATTCTAAAATTAATATGGTAGACGCCGCGACCTGGTCCAGTAATTTTTTCTTAATAACACCAGCGATATGGGTATCAAATAAAAGAACTTGGAGACTAAAATCCATAGAAAGCATAGTGGTGAGTACGCAAGATTCGGCCCTCGCCGAACATAACTTTCTTACTTTTTTTTTTCCCCAATATATTTTATGAGATCCACATTTTCGCCTCTTTTCCATCGAGAAAAAAAGGGCGAAACGGTTGTATAGGTGGGCTAAAGGTAATTGCAAATCGTGTTACATACAATCACAATTAAAATCGCAGACTACTATTTATGGAAAGAGATGTGGAGATTACCCTCCCTTCATACGTAGAATAGATTCATTTGTTAGAAAAGGCCAAAAAATCTTATTGATCAGCATGTCTTCCAATGATAATTTCAACGTCAAATTGCGGACAAAATCTGATAGAGATCTGAATTTCTTTATTATCCTATTTGTCATAATTACTTTATAAGCTATGAAAGGTACCGTGTATTCAAGAATCGCTTAGTTCCCGTAAGTAGAATGCAAAATTTGTCATATATGAATGAACACAGAGCACGATTGGTTCATATTTTTTATGATTTTCACTACGTTTTTTTTTTTTTTTTTTATAGATCTTTGCTCCTCGGAAATATGAACTTTTATTAATAATCACTCGGATCTTATTATAAAAACCTGGCGCAGATATAACGATCAATGAGCAGTTGTGCTCAATTAAGTCCAAAATTTAAGGCCGTCTGCGCTAAAGGTAATTAAAAAATCTGTGGAAAGTATACTGTATATACTTCAAGTCTTAAGTTTACTAACTTCATATACTAAAAGGAATATCGCGTTCTGTATCCATTACGAAGAGAACGTTGGGGATTTTTGCGTTTTTTATTAGGGAGTTATTATAATCCCCGGAAATCGTTAAAATTGTTTACCTGATAAATTAAATTAAGCGTAGCAAACACGATTGATTTGCCGATGAATAATAAATCTTCGTTGATCGTCTTGGAAATATTTAACAAAAAAACTTCATTGATCATTGCGGCTTATTGACAGAATTTATCCGTTCAACGGATTGACCGGTTTGAGCGGAAAAGCTTAAATGTAATCCGAAATATTTAAGCGAACCTTCATTTCGCTATTAAACGGTTAACTGGCGAAAAGGTACGTAATGTGTGGCCCAATATTTTGTATATATACCTATAAAAATTTAATAAAAATTTAATAAACATATATAATTAAATATTTATGTTAATCACATTTATTCGATGAATATATTTTCCAATGAATCGTAGTTCCATTGTTATTATCAGTTAAATAGCATTTAAAATTTAAATTAACCAATTTCGGTTATAAATAGAAAATATTATTTGGTTGATTTATTTATGCTGACATGAAATAATATTTTTAAAATTTAATTTCAAAATGTTATGTTCAATGGAAGTCAATTTAATGAAAAATATAAACTAATAACTATAATCGCATTATGTTGCTTAAATTTTTCAATTGCAACATAAAAATGGATGGGAACAGAAATTTAAATGGTATTACAAATAATGTGTGAGCCTTATTTCCTTTTCTTTTTTTTTTTTTTTTGATTAGTAATTGCGGTGACCGTAAGAGCGATTACCACCACCACCGCCTCGTCGTCCTCGCATGTTTTCATCGGAGCGTCTCCCTTTCATTTTATTGAATCTGTCGGCCATGTCCCTAAGATTATCAGGTACATCTTGCCCGGCCTCTTCCAGTATTTTTATTAGTTCAGCAGCCAAACCCCAATCTGAACGCGTTACGTAACTAATCGATGTACCAGTGCGACCAGCACGTCCGGTACGTCCTATACGATGTACATACTCTTCGATGTTACGAGGAAAGTCATAATTGATAACATGCGTTACATCATCAATATCTAAGCCTCTAGACGCTACATCGGTTGCAATAAGAATTTTCACCTCACCCGATGTAATATCAGCAATAGCCTGTTCGCGATCGGCTTGATCGCGCGAACCATGTATGGCCTGGCAAAGGTAACCGGCGAGAGTCAAGTCACTGGATAGATCATCTGCGCGCACCTTTTTGCCACAAAAAACAATTATTTTATCATCGGATCTCATAGACTTGACGAACGATTTGATCATATCGTATTTTTCGCCTTCCTCCACAACTTCGACTACCTGTCTAACCGAGTGGGTAGCAGCCAAATCCAATGACCCTACACAGACTTGTATCGGGTTACTCATATAGCTTTGAGCTAAGCGACGCACACCAGGCGGCCAGGTAGCGCTCGTCATTATTGTTTGACGATCGGGACGTATATCTAATAGGATCTTCCGAATTTGTGGTTCAAAGCCCATGTCCAACATACGATCAGCTTCATCTAATACCAAATATGTGACCGTGGTCACATCAATTACTTTGGCTTGTATTAAATCGTTTAGACGACCGGGAGTACAAATTATGACTTCAACACCCTGTTCAACGTGCTGAATCTGATCACGACGATTTCCGCCACCGTATATGCAAACCGCTTTAATTCCCCGGAATGAATACTTATTAGTTTCTTTTTCTATCTGTAAAGCTAATTCACGCGTTGGCGCCAATATAAGAACATTTGGACCGCCACGCTCAGAGCGTGGGATGCTTTGATACTCTATATGAACCAAAGCTGGAAGTAGAAATGCTAAAGTCTTGCCCGTTCCCGTCTGAGCAATGCCGATTAAATCTTCACCTTTGAGCAAAATAGGCCAAGCCTGCGCTTGTATAGGTGAGGGTTTCTTAAATTGTTGTTTCGCTACTTCGGCCAACAAATCTGGGTACTGTCCAAAGCACTGTTCGAATTTCCATATAGGATTTGGTATGTTATCAGGCTCATCATTTTTTTGTTCGAATACTCGTGACACGGTTGTATTGTTATTCTGTAAACGAATTTGGTCTACATCATCCTTATCCATGTTGGCTACCTCGGTATGCTCTACATAAAAATCTTTTGTAAGCGGTGGGCGTTTTGACCAACGTTCTGCTCTAGCCAGTTCAGCTTTTTTATTTTCCGCCTTCCAATCAATTATACCGCCCTGATTCGCACTATAATTCTCGTTTCTATCATAAGAAGTTTTTGGATAATGATAATCAAATGGGTTATCATCGTCTCTACCATATGAACGATATCCCTGATTGTTTCTATCACTTCTATTATATCCACTACCGTGCGGACGTTGTGACTGATTATTTCCATCATGGCCTTCATCTACTATTTGCCTAATGCGATTTAAAGCATCATTTATCTTACCCTTGTCGTCGCCCAGAACAGTTACTTTCCCGCGAGACTTATCTGCATCGATTCGAACATTAAAATCCAATTGTAAGCGTTGAATAGTAGAGCCTGCTCGGCCAACAATGCGGCCGATAGATTCCGGACGTACATAGAGCGATTCCTTACCCTGGAAACTGCGGCCATAAGTGCTACCTCTGCCACTATTTCGGTTAATGCAGCTGTCTCTGTCTCTACGCCGGCTATCATCTGAGCGTCTATTGTCGCCGTACGATCGTTTTGGAAAGCTTTTTACATTACTCACTTGAGGTTTGTCGTCATATTCTTCATCGTCCTCCCAATCAGACATTTTCGAACTTTACAAGATAATTCTTTTATTTTTCTTTATTTTGTATTTTTGAATTGGGCTTTTTTTATGTTGAGGTTAAGAGTATACTTTTTCAATTTTTTTTTTCTTTTTTTTCTTCTTTGCTAAATTATTTTCTTCCTTTTTTTTCAAGCAGAAATGATTCCGCTTTCCTAACGCTCAGGCAAAAGTCTAGTGTTGCCGTTGTTTATGAATCGAATGTAAACCGTGGATAAGCGAGCCTGCGATATCAAAAAGAATAGGAATTTTTAACTTATGCTGGGTAATTGTGTATTAAGGAAATGATTACCAGCACTTGTGTCCAAGAAAATGGACGGTGGATAGAAATGTCTCTCAGAACTTTTAGAGTTTATGAGTAGATGGTTATTTATACTTACTGCCGTGGTGTAGATATATAATACTAGTTTTGTAATACGTGTTCGAGCGTCCAAAAGTTGTATTTGTCTGTTGACGGGATTTTTGAAGTAATTATTTAGATTGAGTTGAACATTCTGAATTGAATTTTGAAAAACGTGTTGAAACAGAGCTGGGATTTTTAAGTCTAATCAGTAAAAACTTGAAAATTCGAATAAATTTTAAAAGTTTTTATTAACGACTTGTAAAATATGTTGTTTTAAAATATTGCATATATTGTATTGTAATATTGTAATTTACCACATAAAATTATATTATATATATTATAATTTATGTTATGTATATAATATATATGATATCATATATTTAATAATAATAATTTAGAAAATAAACAATTGTAATTTTATAAAATTTGTTTTTGTTTTTTTAAAGTAAACGTGACCAAATTAAATCACACATTCTAGCAAATTTTCAGTTGGTAATTTGCTGAATAACATAAGAAGAAGGCATCACTGTATAATTGTTTAAAATAAGTAAGAACATTATAGTCGAGGAAGGCTGTCCCATTAAATACCCTACACCACATTGTCTAATACAATCCTTATTTTTAATGTAGAGTACAAAAATTATATTTTGTTTAAATATAAAGGTATATTTTTCATGTGCGTAGTTTTGGAGAAGCGGGTCCAAAACGCAATCTAATGTAGTACAACTTTAACCCTTACGTAGGCGTAGATGGTCTAAATTTTGTAGAGTTCATTTCAGCATCAAATTACTATTACGAGTCTATTTTCATCACATATTAAAACTGAGATTTTTCTACTCTACAAAGGAACAATTTTCGTTAAAAATCCTTATTAAGGTGCCATCCAAAATTAAGCCGAGATGATCCAAATTTGATACAGTTAATTTTTGTATCTTAAATTTCTTTTATGATTTGATTTTCAGTATTACGCATTGTTATACCTTTTCAGTCTTCGTTATATGAGAGGGGTTTCAAAAATTGCCCCAGTGAGTCTAAAGTTTTCATACCAATTAAGAATGACAAAATACTACTGTATAGCTAATTTTGCCGAGAAATTTTGAAAATTACAATTTTTTTCCATATAACGACCTCTTAGAATTGAGCCTTATATGAGTAGTGTTCGAAAAAGTGAAGCGTTCGTTCTTGAATCAAAACATGTCACTGTACCAAATTTCTTCGAAATATGTCAAAAATTGCGACCTATAAGTGAATGCAGATTTACATGGACAAACGGCAGACGGACAGAGAGGCTTATATCAATTCATATTATGATTCTGAATCGATTGGTACAATAATATGTGGGTCTATTTTAAGCCTTTTTGCGTTTTACATACATCCGCACTAACTTAATATATCCTGTACCGCAAGTAGTGTAGGATGTAAAAACTATAGTTTTCAGTTTTTGAGTTATTTGTTATCTAGAGTTGTGGTGTTATAATAAATAGAGTTTCGTATTTATATTGCATTTCGACAGCTGTTTCTAGTCCTATTGTGGAATATATAAAAGTAAAATTTGTTAGTTATTTGCAATGCATCGAAAAAAGTGCCGAGCAGACTTCAAATTATAGAGTAAGTAGATTAAGTATAGAGAAGAAAAAAAAATTATTATTATACGTTTTTTGATACAATATTTATACAACTCGATTAAGCTGTTTGTGTGAATTAAGATTTGAATTTTATTTATCAATCTCATCCAGGTTCAGTTTAACAATTAATTGAATCGGACCAAAAATTCGTTGAAAGTTATCCAAAAAAAATTTAACAGTCAACATAGGAAACGAGAGCAGAGTTGATTGCCGATGACCCATTTTGTAACTTGCCCTGGGAACATCAATCTTAAAACATATTTTTAATTCATTAGCTACGATGGTCAGATACCTAACAACACAAATTTCGATGTTTCAGCAAACTCGAGATTGCAATGTAAGTGAGTTCTGGTTAATTACCACTAATATGGAAATATTACATTCATCTGATGTAAATCACTATTCGACCGGGAATCGAAATTCCTATGTTAGGTGAGCGTACTAACTACTAAGATAGCGCCGACACGTATTAACTGATAACAAGAATACCTTCAACTAGTCGGATTCATTCCTCAAACTAAACGAAATATAAAAGTTCATGGGTGAACGTTAATTTGTTATTTCGCCACTGACTTCTTGTGGAATAATGGCATCAATATAGGTTTTAAGTTGCGAGTTCCCGTTTTTGGGTATTATTTAAAATATTTACGTCATCATATACGATATATACCGACCGGTCCTTCGCTTTATCTTGCAATCAAATATCTTGCTTAAGCTAAAGTACCAAGTAATATTAAAGAAATCAGTTTAAACTTAAAGTAATTTCTTTGTTTTAGTTTTCTCTTATATGGCATGAGCATTGTGTGGGGATAGATAAAATAATTCTCCAAATTTTGCGTACAAAAAATGAAAAAAAAGGCAGTGATATTAAAATTCATAGAAAGAAAAAATAAAAATTAATTTTGATAATAGTTTTACTTGTTTATTTAATATATAATACGTAATTAGTTCGTTTTAATACGTGTATGCTGTTCTTCTTTCTCTCTCTCTCTCCCACTTCTTAATTATAAACGAACGAATGCCTTCGAAGAATGTGTTGATAAACCAACTTTTGATTCCATATGTAAGCATAATCTATGTGTAAAGTTGTTAATAACAATGCAAGGTAAATAATATATAAAAAAAGTTTATATAAATAAAATTTATTTATTAATATTGTATGCAATGGTAGACATTTCTTGAGGAATGTTACAAAAGGAGCACACATGTGCTTGTTTGTTTGTTAACACATTTAAAACAATGCGTTCAACATTTTCTATTAGTTTTGCTTGCTTTTTTGAGTAAAATTTTTTAATTCACTAAAAGTTCCTTAAGCAGAATCAGCTGCTATTGGATTTTTGTATATAAAATGCAACTCTGTTTGAAACAAATAAACAAAAAGACTGTGATTCTCCACTTTCTCTACATTTGGATATGTACAGAGAAAAAACAAAAGGAAAAAAAAAATTAAGAAAAAAAAAAAAAGGAATATTCATTTTAAAATGTGCCTTATGCCTTTGCGTTCAAAAATGGTTCTTCACATTTTGCGAATTTGCTTCTTAAATATATCTTCTAATTGAGTTAATAAACCGATTGCTCGATAATTATCTCGAAGCATTGCGTACTCCTCCAATGCTTTAATATGCCTTAAGGCATCCTCTACAGATTCAATATCTGGCAATGGACTTAAGCTACGCTTTAAAGATCCCGTCATTTTCTCTAACGGCTGGCCATTAATATGCTGCTGCGATAAGTTATTAAACGCTTTAACTTCACCATCATTATTATCATCATCATCGTTCTCATCGTTGACATAAACTACACGGGTTCCCTCGTTTGTTTCTTCGTGCCCTTCGGACATTGAATTATCATTACTGCACATGTCATTTTGTTCGGCTGCATCCTTTAATTGTTGTTGTTCTTTTCTACTAACATACTGTATCATATCGATGGCATTTAAATACGGTCGTTTCGCTTCGCTAATACACATATTATTGCGCAGCGCATCTAAATCAAAACTTGGTATATTGTATAGCTTTTGGAAATGTGATAGCCATGCATCAGTTAAATTAAAATTCTCCACTGCTATGCATTCTTTTACTTCTACCGCTTTCCAGCGTACTTTCTGTTCGGTGATCGAGAAGCCATTATATACGGCACGTTCTAGATACTCGTACATAACTTTGCCCAAAAATTCGATTTTCTCTTTACGCCTCTGTTGTATCTCATCTTTGCAAGGCGCATCTGGATTGTAATTCTCAAACGATTGCAATATATTATTTTTATTTAACAATATATTCTTAATTTGCTTAGAGCTGCATTCGAATTTTTTCGCCAAACTTTGGTAACTGGGACTATTACCCAATGAGAGTAAACGTTCATATTCTTTGCAAACTTGTACACGTTCTTCTAAACTTAAAATATTGCGTGTTCTATAATCATTTGGCGAGGCCATACTATATCTGTATATAAATAATACTATTATGCATAAACATACACGCAATACGCACGCACACACAAATGTATATATATATATATATATATATATATATGTTTATGTATATGTATATGTATATATATATATAACCTCAAATCGCTTATTAAGTATTGAAGGAAACTAATAATAACAGTAAAAAGACAATTAATCAGTTGAGAAAAGCTTTTAACGCGTCAGCAAAACCTTGTACCGCACCACACAGTACTTTCAACCTTTTTGTTTCAGTAAACATTAGAGACTAACTAACTGCAGTTTAACGAAAACACACGATCACACCGCAATACGATCGGTGTGTGCAGCTTGACTCTTCTTAGCTCTACAAATGCTAATACTCACTTACTTACTCACCGCCGTCACTCACAGAGATAAAGTTGGGCTTGACGAGCCGTATATGCGTAGCTATTGTGAAAGCTTTTCAAGACGATACGATTCAATGATACATATTTCGGATTTATCAAGGGATTATATCTGAAGAAAAAGCATTTATAGGCATTTGTCTTATATGTTTGTTTCTATATACAAGAACGAAAAGTTCTAAAGCAATTGTAAAATGCCTGATATTGGCTTATGCTCGGTGGTGGTTATCTTTTCTCTTTTCTCTGTCCTCTTTTTGCTTTTGTTTTTGTTTTTCGTTTTTGTCTCTTATATTTTTTTGCTTTGATTCCTTTGGGGGCTAACTACTCTAAAGCTTTCAAATGATTACTACTTTTTTTTTTAATAAAGCTTTCCCTATACACATAGTTAGAAAGCTCTTAAGATAACATTGCTACTAATTTAGGTTGGCACTGCAAAAATATGAACCGTATATAGCCATAGGAGTTTTTTCCATTATTCTTGTTTGAATCAAGTCCAATCAATATATGTTGATACGGAATTGAAAGAATCATATCAATTTCTAAGGAATTATGGATGTTTTATTACTTTTCTTTTTTTTCTTTTTATATACATATATATAAAAAGTATTGCGATTTGTTCTTATATTAAGTGTTTTTATTCCATAAAATTCATCAGTACACGCGACGCGGCGGTAACGTGTAAAAGATTTTGTCGTAGAAAGAAAAGATTCATTATTTATTAGATGTGCTCTGTTAAAAATCACAATTCTTATATCATTTTTTTTTTTATTTTTTTTATTTAAGGACAATTTCTATTTACTTACATTGCTACGAACACATAAGCAGTAAAATTTTCATTTACTCTTTTCTAGATTGTCATTTTGTCGAGTTACCTGTTGATTTCTCTTTATCGTACATTAGCGCTTGAGTCTCTTTTTCTCGTAATATTGACGCAATATCCTTATATTTTATACGATTTACTCGCGTCCTTTAGCATACACACAAACAGGGACGCACACGGCTGCTTGCTATAGTACACTATTTCTATTCCGTATTATTTCTATTGAAAATTAAATTAAATTAAAATAAACAAAATCATTAATTATATTAAAAATGTTAAACGATAGTATGATGCATTACAGCGACAATGACTTGGAGTTTTTCATTTGATTTTCGACTTCAATTTTATTATTGAAAGCCTCAATTTTGTAGGCATAGACGGCGCTTAATTTTTTATCCTAATTAAGAACCTAAGGTTATATGTAATTTGTATTACAGTGCGAAAAGCGATTCCGTTTTTCGTTGAACTTCTTTTGCATAGTTTTTCAAAGGATACCGAGTGAAAGCGAATGATAAAAATTTAGCTCCGCTTTTTAAATTATTTATTTAATTTTATTTCTCTTCTTTTTTTTTATAATTAGTTTTTGGAGTACGCAATAAGTTCATGCTTTTTCTTATTATTTTGTTAGTTAAGACAACGCCTTATTTTCAAAGACAACAGTCAAAATGTTTGTGTTACAGAGTTGCATTACTAAGTGTATATTGTTTGATGTTTGTGTGTAAAAATATTTCATTTAAAGTAATGATAAATAAACCCGAAAGAGGGCAGTGTAAAGAAGTTCCTTACGGTTATATATGCATATATTAAAAGAAATTAAAGAATTATGAATCATTTTGCAAATCGATCTAAGCTTGCCTGGCAGTCTGCCCATCCGTTTGCCCGTACATCCGATGTCTGTCCATGTAATCTTTTATTCAACCTGCAGGTCGATTCGACATATTTTCACGAAATTTGATAATACTAACGTGTTTTGACCCACGGACGAACGCTATAAAAAATGTTATGACGGCAGCAACTGGAAAATAACCTAATCTTTAACCGCGTGGACGTTTGAGTTTTTCTGAACTCCAAACTTCTAATCGCTGTTTCCAGCAAATCGAAATGTCCGACGGTACTGCAATTTTTCAAACTAAAGAATTATCTTCTTCTTAATAATTTCTTTAGTGTAGGTATGAAATAAAAGCGCTAAGAGAGTAGTATGCGACAAGCTAAATGTACTAATTTTAAACAGGGAAGAAGAACACCGTAATCGGCTGAAGTCGACCGTCAGATACCCTACACCACTTCGTCGAACATAGTCATCCATTCATACGATAATACACTACAAATGCATTTACAAAAAGCCCTCATATTGGAGAATGTACGAAACATCAAAAGGGGGTGGAAAAGTTGGGAAATAATCACTCACCTCATAAAAGACAATATATATTACATAAAACTGGTATCTTACACATTAAAATCTTAAGCCTTCCAAGCTTTCAAAGTAGTAAGAGAAACTTAATAGGTAAGAAGCGCGACTGGCAAGTTCGTGCTGGGAGGTTCAAATCTCAAGTTTAATTTGATCGAACCTATAACAAGTACTCAGTCAGTCAAGGCATAACAGTTACCGATTGACTACATATCCACTAGGCTGCGTTTACATCCTCCTTACTTCTTTCGAATTGCTTTCCGAGCATTACCGTGCTATATGGCTATGGCGATATTGTCTGAGTGAGGGATTGCTCATAGCAAAAAAAGAAAAAAAAAAGTGTATTTTCACATAAAAGTGACTGAAATGAACCTTTATTCCCAATCTTTTAGATAAAAGTTTATTTAAAAAAAAAAAAAATTGCTAAATAACATTCTTACGCAAGTAAGTCCGCATATATGTTTTACATTTGAACTATGCATTAGTTTTGCCCGAAAAAATTGATAATTCTTAGCTCATCTACAAAAACAACATATATATATATATATATATATATATATCGCATTAACACCATTATAGATATTCCTATCTATTTGATCCTTTGCCTGGCAAGTTGCCTAAGTGCGAAGGGCGAACTATTCGCCACATCGTAATGGTGTGACAATATTTCTAAATTGTGATCGTACAATAAATGCATTTTTGGCATTGGCACCTCTATCTATCAGTCCACAAACTTATATGATACGAAAAAACAATTTTCCTTAAATGAATTGAATTCTTCCCCATATAATATCTATGGTATGCACTCTATGTATGCAATTATGTTATGATAAATTTTATATGTTGTGTTATTTTTATGTATATACGTACATACGTATGGATACAATAGTGGATGTATATACGTATATACGTATGTAATACACAAAATTATTTGATTACTCTGACGGCTTCAGGGTCATGACTTGAATCGATTTAAGCTTGTCCGTACATCTATTCGGGTGATTGTCTATCTATATATACGTGAGTCGTCTGTTCCCATATTCGTTTGCTTGTCTGTCCTTCCTAATCTTAACCTTTCAAGCGATATTAGACTCCATTGTTGTCTTGAAGTTTTAACCTTTCTATAAAGGCATTAAAATCCGCAATTATTATTAGAATCCATCGTTAACACAATTCCTAAAATGTAGTAGAACCGAATTTTACCTATGTGTTGTAACTTATATAAGTGTTATGCTGTTGTGTCCGATGTTTCTAAATAAATGATGACAATGCTAATCGTAGTTTAACAATATCGGGTAATGCCATACATTCTCGGCGTTTTCTTTAGGGAAGAGCGGTCTTCGGTAAAGAATTCATGTATTTTTAGAAAGAATGCATCGCTGGAGCTACCAATTTTACTACTACTACTACTACTACTACTACTACAATACTCAGTCATATCCAAATAATGCTACAAAATTCGATCATTATTCCACATAATGAATGTCGATCGTATTTTGGTAAAGTTATTATATGAAACAAGGAAGAAAATTATATTCGATTGTAGGACCGAATCTGTTATACCCATCGACCGTTATCCTAAAAAAGACAAAAAAAAGTGAAGAACCAAGTTTTCATCCTCGTTTCATTTTTTTTTTGTCATTTTTCAAAATAAAAGTTTTTGTCATATAGGCGTGTGGGCGTTGTAGGTGTGTTCTTGGGAAAGTTTAAGTCACATTGCCAAACTCTTTTACAAAATTTGTAGGCGATATTTTGATTTTCGCTTACGTGAAAATTTATTTATCACAGATACTATACAGTTGCGCAGACAGATAGAGAGACAGACGAACAGACGGCAATGTTTTCGGTACATTCCACATTTGAAAGTGGCCAAGAATTTATATAGTTTTTGGGGGGGTTTTTGAAGCTTGTTTCTGCGCGTTATAAAGGCATTGAAGAAGAATTCAATTTTAATGTACCATAATATTGGGTAGGCTTGGGCAATTTATTTCATCATTTTTATGCATGTGCTACAGCATCGCTCATTGAATATGTCTTCCAATTTTTGTGCATTTATCTGCTTTACTTTATGAGTAGTGAGCAAAAAAAACCAAATTTTTTATTTCTTTTAAAACACAGAGGTGTTCTCAGTTTACGTGTTGCTGTGAGTGTGTCTTTCCGCCGATTTGGCTCATGGCTTTCAATAGCAACCTGCTTGCAAGAATTTCCAATGTTTCAGTCAAATTTGAAGTCGATAGCTCCATTTGACGAGGGCCAACGGAATGTTTACAACACATGTTATTATACAGACGGACAGGCGAGCATCGATGTCGGATTTCATACTGATTAAGAGTATATATATACATATATATATATATATTTGTGGAGTCTCTGATGCTTCTGATGTTCTGGACGCTGAAAATATTTTGACAACATGAATGTACCCCGCGTCCTCCGGGGATGGGATGAAACAGACATTCTTTTTACAATGCTCTTTAGTAAATTGAATGAATGGATAGGGCGGGACCAAGCAGTTCCGACGTGACGTAGGATATTTAATTCATTTATATATAGATACTTGCAAATTTCTCTCTCTCTCTCTCTCTCTCTCTCTCTCTTTCGATATGTACTC